AACCGGGGCCCTCTGGCATCCCAAGCGAGTTCTTAACCATCGCGCCACTCGGCCGGCCCTAAGCATGTATAATTTTAATTCCTACAGAAATGACTTTAAAAATTAAACAAAGATATAGTCAAAATCACAATAAATGAAGTGAAATGAAACACTAAAAAAGTTCAAATAACTCAAAAGTAAGCATGAAAAGGGAAACAGAGAAACTCAAAGGCAACAAACAGTAAATAAATAATGAAATGATGGACATAAATCCAAACATATCAATAATTACATTAAATATAAATGTTCCAAACATGTAATTTTTTATTAAATTTATTGGGGTGACATTGGTTAGTAAGATTATATAGCTTTCAAGTATGCAATTGTATAATACATTATCCATATATTGCATTGTGTATTCACCACCCAAAAGTCAATTCTCCTCCCATCACCATATATTTGACCCCCTTGACCCTCTTCTTCCATCCCCGTTCCTCCTCATATATGAACTCTCTTGGGCTCTGCTCAAGATGATGCTGGCAGGGGACGAATTCCCCAGAAAGGGGACTCAAGCCCTGGGCTAAGAAGGTTCTTGGCTTCACATAGGAAAGAATTCAAACATGAGCCAATACAGAGTTTAAAGTGAACATAAGTTCATTTAGCAGAGAGTCAGTAAGAAAAAAGAAAGGCCACCCACTGGTCTCCAGTCGCTAGTGAAAGAGAGGCCCCCTTAATCCCCCAGACTAGAGTTTATATGTGTTTTCTGTTTCCATGGAAAATGTTCTTGGTATAGGGGAAAGGAAGAAAAAGAACAATGGTAAGTTTATCTTTAACTTCTGTAAGATGCAAGAAGAATAGCGGCAGGATTATCTTTAACTTCTGTAAGGCACAACCTGTGGCTTGTTTGTAGTAGGCTTAACTCCATGGATGGCCATAATGCTATCTCTGCGCTTAATAGCCTTTGAATGGTTTGTTCTGTGTCACTGATTAACATCTGCCTGAGTTCTGTCTTGCAACACGTAGGCAGCAGGCCTGGAATCCAACCTCCTAGTTTCTTCTTTTGTAAAAATAGTCCTCATGCCCTTTCCCTATATTAAAATTGTTCTGCTTATGTCTATAGACTCTTTTGCCCATACAGATTTTGGAACCAAAGCTTATTCTTCAGTTATTCTTTGAAGCATACATATATGTATATTAATGCTCAGATTAGCTATAATCAGATGATGTGTAGGAGAATTCTCTGGCACTTCAAAAGCAGAGGGGACGAGTAAGAAACAATAAAATGGTAGATATATAGCCTTTCTGAAGTTTGTCTCCCTGCTTTAACTCAATATTTTATTTCTCCACCCCAGCTGAGTTCATATTCTAATTATAAACCTATCAGCAATTTTAAGGGTGAAATTCAGGGACTCAATAACGCAGTTAGACTTAGCTAGCTTGCAGTTTAACTCACCGCATAGCTTGCTATCTTGCCACCTGTAATTAGACTTTGTTTGCAGTTTGTTCCATCCTGATATTCATCTGTTTTCTCCTTGTTTTGCCCCTCACTGATTAACTGAAGAACACTGTTCTCTTTCTCAAGACTACTCATACCTCGTTAATTAACAACATCCTAACCTGAAAAGAACAACTTCTTAAACCTCAGGGCCCAGACACTGGAATCCAATTTACAACTCCCTTGCAGTTTTTACTGGTGACACAGTCCCAGGCCAAGATGGCAGAGTTCGAGTCCAGAGTCCAGAG